TGAAGTAGGAGAAACTATTGGTTTGAATTTGAAGCTATGAACAACTACAGAAGCACAATCTTATTTTTTTATAAAAAAAAAACCTTTGTGCTCATTTCGTGTGCTATTTCAGGCAGGCCAGTTGTATCTTTCTATGAGACCATATATATACTTGGTAATTCTTTATCCCTTTTCCAAGCAATAACTTTTTAGAAGTGGAAGATTCGGTTGGGAGGTCTAGATGTGTTTGTATGAGGACGTATTATATTTTGATGACGACGAGAGAATCTGGATGGTTAGATTTATCAACAGAGGATATGATTTTCATCTTTCGATTATCTATATATAACCAGTCGTTGAATGATTTAATTAATTATATTATCATATAGTTTTGTATTTTTATTGGCATAATTATTATAATTATGCTTATTTCTATTGATCCTATTGTGTTTATACTAAATCGTGTATAGATTTTGTAGCGTCTTTTTTTTCAACCTCTTTTTAAATATTAGAATTGTATTTAGAAATTTCCTATCCTAAAAATAAATCAATAGATAATAAAAATATAAAATATATTGAATTTAAATTCTTAATTACTCTTGATTATATGTTCAATTAAAAAAAAAAAAGATAAGGATTCAAATAATACACAAGTATAATTAAGATATAGTTTTCTTGGTTTTTTATTTTATGTTTAACTTCTACGTACATGCATGTAATTTTGAAAAAGAAAGAACAAGATTCAAGAAAACTTACGTGTTAATTTAGAAATAGAAACGATCAATCATTTCAATCTTCTTCATGGAAAAGCTTCATGATTTCCACGACACTTGGTCCTTGATCCTTGTGACTTTTGACTCTTGTGTCGAGTTTGTGAAATATATTAGTGATGAACTGTGAAGATATGGGAAAACCACCAAAAAGAAGTTATGACATTTTGCTGTGTTTTTTTTTTTTTCTGTCAAAAAAGGTGGGAAAAAAATATTAGGGTTACGCATGAATGCAACTCATCACCCATCTTTTCTTTTTTATTTTTTAGAGAAAATCTTAAGAAATTCTCCAACCTATAGAGGTAATTTCAAATAGGTCCCCAGCACTTTTTTTATCTTGATTAATTAGGTTCCAATGTATCAATGAAGTCGATCTTGAATAAATAAATAAATATATATATATATATAACAATAATAACTTTAAAATTGTATTTAATTATTTATTAACTAACTTTTAATTTCACACATGTTAATTCTATTTTTTTCTAATGAAAATTAAAAAAATTAAAGAAGAATGGAAAAATATAATTCATCATTGTTTCAATAATAAAAAAAATATATATATACAAATCCCGTTTCGTGTGTAAATTGTTCCATTAATTATACGTGAAAGCAGCAATGACCACAATTGCATTAACTTGTGATTGGATCTTTGGAATGATCAGAGAAGCTTTTTGCGTTTAAATGATTTTTTTAGCAAAATTCATCAATAAAACTCATAAAAAAGAGTGAAGAACATTGAGCAAAATCAAATTTACACCCAAAGTGGAACTCTTTGATATTCTTCTGCTATACCTGGCACAAGACAAGACCACTACTACTAGAATTTTGCAATTTACTCTTGATATATTCCGTTAGTAGTTAGAAACTTATCTTGTCGGTACAACTTTTATCAACAAGCTAACAAACGATTATTGTTCATTGAAGATTTTATCATTAATGATTTATATTTTATTGATAAGCTTGGTGGTAATATAATTATTGATAAATTTATGGATTAAAAAAACACACCAAATAAAATAAAAAAAAATTACATGTTTTATTCTATAGGTATATTCCTTGATGAATATGACATATTACCAACAAAAAAAAATATTGATAATTTCATCAATGATTTTTAATATTATCAATAAAATTAAATCGTTGGTAATTGAATAGTATCAATGGCATTTCTAGTAATTTTTTTCAAACTCTTTGGAATATACCAACATGTTTATCTATCAATAAGACCATCAATAATTTTATTAAAATATTTTAAAAAATATAATAAACTAAGTAGAAAATAATTAAAAGAAATAAAAATAAAATATTTATAATAAATTTAAAAATATATCAGTCCAAATACAATTTATCTATAAAAGAATAGCTGGAAAAGAAGGAGGAGGAGGAGGAGAATGCAGGTCTTCTCCGACACGTGTACAACTCATGTGTGATTTCAATTTCATATACAATCATTGGAGTTCGGTTGACTCAATACTAAATCATTTTGTCTCAGCAGGAGTATTGCCAATCCTATCCCAGTAGAACTTTTCCTTACACATCAAATTTGTAAAAGAATTATTTCATTAATATTAATAAGCTAACCGGATTAACATAATTAAGAAAAACTATTTAAATATATATTAATCCTAAACTTTCTGAACCATGCATCAATTATGGGTTTCCATTTAGGATCTTTTAAAATCTAATTTTATTAAAACAATAGCACTTCCATTGATAATTTCATCCCTGATATATTATTTAGAGAGATTTAATATTTGTAAACCTGAAATTGCATTCATTTATTGAAATTGATTTTTAAAAAATTATTAATTATTCTTTTTTTTATAATACATGAAAGGAAAACAAAGTTATATTAAATCGGACTTCTACTAGGCAACGTACTTCCTGATAAATGGATCTCATTTTGAAGGAACCCCTCCCTCAGACTTAGTAGCATCACACTTGACAAGCTTGCGTTGAAAGAGACTCCATGTGTTTCAGGTTTTATGGTTGACACCTAACAACTGGACATCAAAAGCATTGTTAAAAAAACTAGTAGTGATATTTCTATATGCTACGTGCTTTTAACTTTTTTTTAGATATTTATACAAATTAAAAGATTAAAAAAGATAATAGCATTTTTGTTTAAAAAAACAAGTTGGCAGACCACTTATATAAAAACTATTCAAAACTTGTTTATTTGTAAATATACATCAATAACTCTTAAACTAAAATATTTTATTATCATATTTTTATAATTTGTAAATATACATCAATAACTCTTAAATTAAAATATTTTGAATTTTGAACCCATATAAAACATTACTCAATTATTTCCATATAATTATCATATTTTTATGTTAAATATATTAATAACATTTATTACTTCATTTCCCACGTTACGAACCGTTTTCACCAACGACCTCTACATAGAATCCCAAAAATTGTTGTCTTTCATGCGGCACATCCATTTCAATATAATTACTTACTTCACATATATTTTATACGTAATACCTCATCATTTTTTTTAAACTTGCCCATTTATTTTCAATAGCTTTTAGGCTAAGGTTTAAATACAGAAGAAATCATAGATTTCTTGTTGTTTTTCCTTCAATTTTTTGCATCAATTCATAACTATAAGGATCAAAACAAACTTACATGTCCTATAAATAACCAATTGAAGAAAATATCCCTCCCCTCCTTGGCACCCCTAGGTTGGCACCAACACAAAAGAAAGAAGGGCAATTAAGGAAAATTATCTTGTTGTTTTTCCTTCAATTTTTTGCATCAATTCATAACTATAAGGATCAAAACAAACTTACATGTCCTATAAATAACCAATTGAAGAAAATATCCCTCCCCTCCTTGGCACCCCTAGGTTGGCACCAGCACAAAAGAAAGAAGGGCAATTAATTTTCCTTGATTGCTTCAATTCTAGTTTGTCCCAAAAATTAAATATACATGTCAACATGATTCCAATGTAAATTAAACAATCCAAGCAAGAATTTCTCAAATCCCTGGTTTCCTCTATACACAAATATGTTCAAAAATTAAAAAAAATAAACTATATACATAATTGAACCAAGACAAGAGCTCCTTACCTTTTACTACCAAGACTTAATGTGAAAAGAATAGAAGAATTGCTTGATTTTCTCTCCTCCTTCCCTTTCTCTTTGTTTTCCCCAAATTCCTCTCTATCTCGATTTTAATCCATCCCGATTTGTATAAACACCTTTCCTAAAACTTTCAATTCTCCTTTTGAGCTCATAATTTAGTTATTTTGTGAGAATTATGGAAGAAAATTGAAGAAAAGTCTGAAAATGCCCCCCCTCTTCTTGTTGTCATTGGCTGGAAGTCTCCAAAATTACTTTATAGCCCTTACAATTTATTTTGTTTTATCAGATATCCCGTTTCGATCTATTTCAATAACTAACCATACAAAAAGAATGAATTCTTGGAAATCAGATTTTTAAATTATCTAACATCACCCTTAATATTTATTCTAGTTTTTTATTTTATTTTTATTTTTATGGTCTTTAAAAAAAACTGTTATAATATTATTTGAAAACAAAGTTAGAATTAAATGGTATTTAAAAAAATATCTAAAATATATTCTTGATTAATTGAATAATTTTAAAAACAATATATATAATATATTTTGATTTAATGACTTTTAAAGAAATTAAAGTTTAATTTAAAGGGAAAAAAACATTAAAAAAAAAGACAAGGAAGATGCATGAATCTTAATAACCCAACATGGTTTTTTTTATTAAAAAAAATAGACAACACGCGTAATAAGAAATGATCTAGGGTTTTCTAGACTCAAAAACCAAAATTTTCACTCATTTTCATCTCAAAACAATTAGAAAAAAACACTCTTATAACCTAAATACACTAATTTCTCAACCGTTAAAAACCAAAATCTATTCAAAAATAGAAAATCAATTCAAAAAACAAAAATTCTCCGAACCTCAATCTACTTTTTAAGTCAAAATTGAAGACAAAAACACCTCAATAGCACCCCTTTCACACTTTGACACCAAGATCAGGTTTTTTTCATTACCAGAATCATGCCAGTGAACATTCTCTCCTCCACCCATTGAAGTTGAGCGATCCTTTATCCGCTCTATTGAATTTTGAGACTGCTATGTAAAGAAAATAAAGTGCGGTAAAATGAAGTGCTGACTATTGTCAAACTAGAAGTACGAAAACAGGCTGTTATATGCATCAGATTTATTATCTAATACTCCACTGCTGTGCATCGCAAAATACATTAGTGAACCGGAAGGGCACATTAACTGAAAGTTTATAATACATCACACGAAATGCATAATGAATGTATGTACAGGTTTAATACATACAAAGCCAACAAATAAATGACTTAGTGTGATGGTTAGTCTTATATTTGCAAGTGCATATACAAAATACACATGCCAAAACATCAACTTCGTTATAATAAACAAATTATGAGAAAGAAGCTGTCACCTCTTTCCTCTACTTTATTTTTCCTTTCATTTTTTATATAAAGCAAGATCAACACCTTAAACATCCATTCTTTCCGTGTTTAAGGCTTCTGATTTGCAGATGGGGCAGACATTCTTCAAGCGTAGCCACTTCTTCAAGCAATCTGCATGATACTCATGTCCACAATCAAGAGTTGCAATCTTCTCCTTGCTCTTATAATCATCCTGTGAAGTCCCAAAAGATTAAATAAAAAATGTCATCCATTGCATGAAAGAGAGAAGATAACATTTCATTCAATATGCAGAATACGAGGTGGTAAAACTATACTGCATTCCAGAAAATTGAGCATAATTAAAAAGTGTCCAAATACCAAATTCGCAAGGTTGCTTTTACAATACCTGGCAAATAATACAAGAACCAGGTTCTTGATCCGTACAAGCTGCCTCTTCCAAATTGATTGAAGGAGATGATAAATAAGTTCTTGTTTTTAATTGGCTTCTGATGGTTCCCTCTGATAATCCGGTATTTACACTGCCAATTCGCTCCCCTAGTGCAAGAAGCTCCTGTACTCAAAGTTGAAAATTTCTTGTTACAAAACATAAAGAAGACGCATTTCAGGTTGTTCATCTCAGATGTTTAAAATTAAAACATGACAATCCTCCATTCATCTAGACAATCCAAAATTAAAACATATTTAGCTTTGCATGTTAAAAGAGATACTGCTGTCAAAGTAACTCAAGCTTACCTCATAAGACATGTCCTCTATATCCAAGCGCATATCTCTGTGGTGGTCAACATGATTCTCTACTTCATAATAGTCAGGGAACCCTAATATTGCTACCCCCTATACACATGAATCAGAAATGTTTTAGCCACTTTACAAACAGAATTAGCGAAAAAGGATTTTTGTTTCACCAATAATATCATCATGAACAAAAGATAACCACTCATAATAAAGAATGAGGAAAAAGAAATTGCAGAAATGAAAATGAAGATTGGAGTCTTACATCTGTTGGCAATACTCTCAACTGAGGGAGATTGCGATGTCTTAGGGTGGTCTCAGGTACAACTCCCTCACGGTGAGGCCTGTACATTCTAAGGCCAGTTGGTTGAACTGATCCTAGATGCCTAAGTCCAATATCTAAACCATCTTGAGATGGATTCATGGTGCTTTGTGAGGCACTGGCTGTAGGAACTCTGAATGAAGCTGCCGGTGCTTGAGGAAGAATATTAATATTGTGGCCTCTCATTCCTTGAATTGGTGGAGACATATGATGAAAATTGTGGTGCTGAAGGTTCACTTGAGAAGGGTGAGAGAAACTGGCATTACTTCTGTTGCTAGCTGGCTCATGATACCGCTGTAGACCCATATTTCCAATTTCTATAGGACCTCCATTGAGATTGTTCCCTACCAGAAAATGTACCGAGGGGCTTAATATTGACAATAATTAGTCAATTTATGGTTACCAAGAACAAAATTCGAGAAAAAAAGTATTTGATCATACATTAGGAGAACAACGGGTAGAAAAAACAAGTTGAAGATACCATGCATGTAAGGAATAGCAGGGGTCTGAGTCCATCCTGAAGTGCCTGCATCAGGAGCACTGTTGCTTAAATGTTGATCTAACCAAAGAGAGCCACTTGGCTGATAGGGTTGACCCAAATAGTTTCCTTGAATAAAATGGTTCGGATTGTGCACCAGAGCAGGATCTAACCCAGCAGCACCTAATCTATTCCTCACACTGCTTTGAGATCCCACATCTCTGATTGATGAAGCACTGCTCCCTTGGTAATGTGGCGGGGTGAATGATGTAGCATCCATCAAAGCAACCCCCTCAGGATGCCTTGCATTCAATGGGGCAACTGAAGAACTAGAGCTTGCCGATGCATTCAGATACTGGAAATTCCCTGGGTTTCCTTCTGCATTCTTTCTCTTGAATGAACCTCTAGCATTATCCATGAAGTGACTGTGTGTTCCATACTCATCAGGAGAAACTTCAATCACTCCATAATTGTTGGAAGATGATAACTGATCACAAGACCCATGACTGATAGGAATACCAGTCGATGGAGTCATGTAAGGAACATAGAAGTTGGGTGCAGTAGCAACACTTAAATCAAGATTTGGGCCATGATATTGACGATGAGGATGAAGACCATGGTATTGGGGCATACCATAGAACATAGCACCATCATAATGATCCACTAGATGGGCATCACGATTGTTAGTGTTCCCTGAAGTTGCTACCATGGTTGGAATATCAGATGGTCGGAAGTTTGTCACACCCCCTAAAACAATGCAGGGCTCAGGATGTAGATATCCCTGGCTTTGTTGATCCATTTCTAAATCAATCATCTGATTGGTGCATAGTATGTTTCTTTGTCCCATATCTCAGATTATCCCTGCTTCATAGCCAAGATATTCACATAGAGATGTTAGAATCAGTTGAGAGAGAGATAAGCTGTGATATAAGTTGTCAATGAGAATTGGAGTGGGAAAACAGGATACCAATTATTCACCAACCAGGATAAGGATGGCATGTGTAATGAATACATGCATATCCATATTCAAAATATATAAACCAAGAGAGCAATACAAAGTCAAAATACCATCTCAGACATTAGGAACACGTGATGGAAGACATTACATAAAATATTAAGCAATGTTGCACAACAAGCAATATGTACAAATTACATTTGTGTAATTACATAATTCCTTTTCATCAATTTATTACCATTTATACTGCAGCTTGGTGAAAAGCATCCCCTATCAAAGAAATGAAATAACACAGACAAATAAGTTTAAGAAGTTCTGGAAGATGTTGAATTGAGCTTCACACAAGTCCCATTCAAACTTGGGAAAGAGGAGAATTTCCAAATTCTACCCAAGGTTCAACCTAAAGGCAGAACATGAGAAATATAATACATGAGACCAAAAGATTCCCATGTTATTTTCATTTCAATGTTAAATTGCAAAGCATCCCACTGTCTACCACATCAATTCACCTATTTCATGTGTAGTATGAGAAGAGAAAAGGAACAGACAGGAAGGATGGAGAATATCCCAATCATGAAACAAGGATGTGACATGAGCACAATATCACACTGAACAAGGGGAGAGTATGCAAGAGAAAGGGAGTTATACAACTCCCAACGCGAAGCTCACAGTTTAACCCACTTCAAGATCCCTACCAAGCATTTGGTGCTTCCATGATGGATGAAAAAATTTACATCTATCTTCAATGATTACACTCGTTTCACTAATGCAGAAAGCTGTTGAACTTTATCTTTCTGATATCTAAAATGGAGATGCATTTCATGTCTCATCACAACTGAAACTCAAGATGCAATGAACTTTTGCTTCTGAAATACCTTCTCTAAGTAAAAAGGCCCCTAGGTCAAAACACAACACAAAGTCTCTAGAAGTACAAGCATAACATTCTCAACAGTCAATAACTACATGTAACCTCAATGCAATGACCCTAACCTTATGTGATTGAAGGCTTTCTTCTTAATTGAACAAATTTTGGTGCCATCAAATCTAGGAAAAACACAAATGAATTGCATGAGAATCTCCATTCTTCAAAAGAGCACTTTCATCTGTCAGGCTAAGGGTAAACAATGTACTCCATTCACCAAAAAAATCAATATCATGCTGCCAAAGTACATAGCTACTCCTTTGTGAATTTGTTGCAGCCAACCAAAACGAATAATTTTCTCCAAGACCAATAGATGTTCCAACTAAAGGGAAAAGATAATGGAAACCATCCTTACATCACCTAATCTATGTTCCAACTTCATCAAGCATTATATTCCAAGAATTCTGCAACTAATCGCCCAATCTACAACATCACTACTTTCCTCCAGTTAAATTTATGTGTTAGAGATTAACAAACTTATCAATAACTATAACTTCATCCCATTCACTTGTGTTTCTTATATATTAAACAAGAACACCAAACATTTGTCAGCTAAAACATGAACACGTGGGTGGACGGGAAAACTTTAGCTGACACTTTTAGGTTAATGATGCTTCAGCTTTAGCTTACCGGTTCATCCTATTCTGGAAATTAAGGGAGGCCCAATACAGGCAACGCAAGAAGATGCTTGATTAAATTATTTCAAAATTGTGCCAAAGAAATCTCAACTTCAAAGAAAAAAAAAATATTGTCCAAAGAGGCCAACATTGCCTATTTAATCATTTCAAAACAAACATATGATTAGATTCAATTATCATCAAAATCTAAAACTACAAAACACAAAAAACAAAAAAAAAATCATTACTTATAGGAAAAAAAAAACTCGACTTCTTAAAAATAATTAAATAAACTGTTCATAAATTTGAGACATTTTACCAAAGGGCAGCAACAGAAAAGGAAGGATGAAGACGTACCTTGTGATCATGAAAATAATCAATCAAGAGATGGAATTTCACCAAAGGAGAGATTATGCAAAATTATAAATACCTGCAAAACCAAGAAATCAAAATCAAAGAAATGAAATGAAACCGTAGATTCCAAAATTGAATTTAAGACAAAGAAAAGCAAGAATCGAGAGAGAAAGAAGAAGGTAAACCTAAAAAAGGAGAGATCTCCGTGTTATGATTTGAGAGAGAGGGGGGAAGAGAGAGGGATTGTGGTTGTAAAATATAAGGTAAGGCTGCCAAACGTGGACGGAGTGGAGTTGTTATTTATTTATTTCTTTATTTTTTTTCTATTTATTTTTTCCTTTGAACCGTTGAGGTTAAGGTTAGTAGTTACTACAGTCAGTCAACTTGGGAGATTATTATTATTTTCTTATTAATTTTTTACGGTCGTTGCTGTTGAATAAATACAGCTTTAACTGAACGCGTGTCGGAATCACATATCCCTACGCTTGTGATGTTCACAATAAAAAAAAAATACATTAGACAAAACAAATATATACTTGTGATGTTCCTGTTTTGGCGACCTTGCATTCAATATATATTTATGTGAACAAATATAAGATCTTTATTTAAAAAAAAATTATTCATAAAATAAATATTAATTTTCAACATAGAAATTTATCAACTGCGAGGTCTTTTATGGAGTATAAGAAGATTACAATAAATGTGTGATTTTTAAATTAGAATATAATATAATTGTATTTTATGTCATTTGTTTGGGAGTAAGCATGTGCTTGAAAAATCTAAGTAAATTTTCTGGATTTATTTTATATTTGGACGGTGGTGATTAGTGATTAGGCATGAAAGTGTATGAAAAAAATTATAAAATTGAATTGTCAAAATAATTTATATAATTTGACATATTAAGAAAAGATTTTATTTTCATCACAAAGAAAAAATATCTTAATTTTATATATTAAAAACTAATAGATAAGGATAATCTTCCTAATGTGTAATAAGAGTTTTAGACAAGAAAATATTTATTCTCACAAAAAGTTATCTATGTTATTGTTGTTTAATATTAAGATTTTTTTTATATATTCTAGTAAATATTGTTTTATAAAATATTTATTACTTGAAAATACATCAAAATATTTTTTATTTTTAAAATTTATCTGTTATATCAATATTTTAGAGTGATTTAAATACACCAAAAAAAGAATTTAAAGTTAAGAAAAAAATTCAAAAATTTTCAAAAGCATATATTAAATAAGCCTAAATAATTATTGAAAATTAAAATATTTTTTCAATCCATGTAGTTAAAAAAAATTATTGATTATTTCTCTGTTGACACTTAAAACAATTCAATTTTAATGTAGATGAATTTTATAAAAACCTAAAACAAATTATTTATTTTCTTAACATTACTCTATAGATTAATTCTTAGCATTCCTCCTATATATTCAATCATTAAAAAGAAAAAATAAAACAATATATACCTCTAAATCACTGGCTGTTGTGTGTGTATGCGCACACACACACTCCTTCTCCATTCATGAAAAACCTGGGGAGAATGATTAATATTGGAGTTACTTATATCTATCTATTTATGTTATTTAATAAAACTATATCTCATCCACTTATTTGTTTCAATTGTTTAATTTTTTATCTTCTTTCTCTGTCCATTTCCAACATGGATGACATAAAAAATGATAATATGTTTATGATCAAGTAATTAATTTATTTTACCAAATAAATTAAGCAGGAACGTTCTTAAGCAGACTTTGACCGAGGTAAGGGGGAGAAAGAAGGAGAGAATTGAGAACACAAGAGAAATGAGAAGCATGTGTTTGAATTAGACATGTCAATTTAAATAGGAAGACGATGAAGTCAATAGAATGGAAAAGAGCCCTGAAAAAGCATATTCTTGGCATTTTTAGCTTGAATGGGTGCAGAAATTTTTTAAAATATTTTTTATGTTAAAATATATTAAAATAATTTTTTTATTTTTAAAATTAATATATCAAAATAATTTAAAATATAAAAAAAAATATTATTTTTTAGTGAAAAAAATAAAATATTTTGGTCACGAGGCTTACTCGCATTCTCAAATGGTGTAATACAAGACCATGTAAAAAATCTATTTATTTTTTATTATTATTAATTTAGATGTTCGGACCAGCTTGTATGCATTTTAATTAATTTTATAATTTTTAAAGTTAAAAATTATATAAATCTTTAATGATTATAAAAGTATTTAAATTCATAATCATTAAAAACTAAATCTAAAATCTAACCAATTTATGATTAAAAATACCAAATATACTTGCTTAATGGAATAGAATACTTTATGTGCTATTTGTAATTTATATCAACCTCATTGTACTAATTTTGTATTACAGGCTAATAATTTAATTTATTTTGAGCGTGGAGTAATTTAACTATAATAAAAGGTTGAAAAAACACAAATAATCCACAGTTCTTTAATTACAAGTTGACCGTTAAAAAAATACCAAATCATCCTTTTAAGACATCCTAGTTAAAAATAAAAAAATAAATGAAGTCTACAAACATAAACTACCTAGGATCATTTAATAAATAAAACATATTTTGAGGCTGCATATGCTATTTGTAATTTTTATGCAAGTCTGACCATGCTGATTCTATATTATAAACCAATAGTTCAATTTATTTCGAGTGAGGTAAATAAGTAATTGGACTGTTACAAAAAGTTAAAAAGACATAAATAATTTAATTACAAATTTACCGTTGAAAAATACCAAATCACTTTTTAAGGCATCCTAGTTAAAAATAAATAAATGAATGAATGAACGAACTCAGTTACTGACTGTCTTCGTTGTGAGTGGGAACACAGTAGAATAGAAATGCGGGAAAAGAACCCTGAAAAAGCATATTCTTGGCGCGCGGGTCCTTCTTATTTTTAGCCGCAGAGCACAGGATCAAGGTGGATTCCACGCTTCCGTGGCACGTCAACAAAAATATCAATCAACATGGCTTGTGCCTCCTCCACGGCGCAAGGACAATTAATATAGCGTGTTTTTTATATACATATCAATATATCAAAATAATTTAAAATGTAAAAAATATTATTTTTTAATAAAAAAATAAAATATTTTGGTCATGAGACTTGCTTGGCATTCTCAAAATGGTGTAATACAAGACCATGTAAAAAATCTGTTTACTTTTTATTATTATTAATTTAGATGTTTGGACCAGTTTGCATGTATTTTAATTAATTATAAAATTATATAAACTTTCAATGATTCTAAAAATATTTAAATTTATAATTATTAAAAAATAAATCTAAAATCTAATCAATTTAGCTACCAATCATTATATATATATTATTTAAATTTAAATTTCTTAAAAAATATTAAATATTTACAAATAATTTTGATATGCTAATTTTTAAAATTAAAAAAATAATTTTATTTTAATATATTTTCAATTAAAAAACACTTTACATTACAATATAAAAACTAACTAATATATATATATATTCATCCATTATTATGATATGCCTAATTCACCACTAAAGTCTAACGGCCATAAACACTCAATCGTCACTTATAAATGTATGTAAGATAAAACATCTAATTTTATATACACTATTGATTTAAAGATAGTATGGCATATGCAACTTAAAACATAGCAGCAAGAGTTTAGAATTAAAATATTTGTTTTTTTTTGTAATCTCAAGTTAAAACTTTATAATTACTAAATTATTAAAAATTTATATAATTATTAATTTAAAAACTTATAAAATTAATAAAAATACGCTAGACAATCACATAAAAAAATAACTCAAAAGAAATTTTTTACAATCTTGACACTTTCTAAAAATTGATAATTCCTCATAGAATCTAAAAACACTATCGCCTTATAATATAATGTATAATAATTAATAATCTATCACATTAATCTAAAAACACTATCGCCTTATAATATAATGTATAATAATTAATAATCTATCACTTTAACAAAAAAAAAAAAACATAAATAAACGAAAATAAAAATCCTAAAAAAGAAGTCTTCTCTTCTCTTCTTCTCGGTGTCAACACAGCCGGAGAGGTTGTCCACAGAATTCTGTAAAAGCCCCATCTAAAGTCTCAATAACCCAACTATTATTCTCTGCTGATTTAGGTATGCTTTCTTTTCTCTTCTTTTATTTCCATTATTTGAAGGAGCGTTCTAGGGTTTGTTGGTTCTTCTTCTCCCATCCTGTTTTTATGCTTCTTTCTCTTCATCTACGTCGATATTTTCCTCTATTTTGTTTTAATGATTTCTTTTGAAAAAACAGAGCTTGCTTTTTGTTGTTGTTGTTGTTATGCATTTGTTACTGGCTAAATTTATTGAAATCAAGTAGAGAGAAATCCTTGTATAAGTTGTTTTTGGATAGTTTTCCAGATTCAAAAGAATGGGCTTGGATTTTATGTGTTTCTGTATAAAACTGGAATGTTCAACAAACAAGGTTACTATTCATTTGTTAAATGCCTTTTGCATGCGAAGATGAATTGAAGTTTGCAAAGACCAAGTGAAAAGCTTCGATTTTGGATGCTTTATTTGTATGAAGACTGGTTCTATTTGTTGCTAATTCTTACTATTCTGGCTGTGTTTTGCATGCAAGATGGGTTAAGGATGTGTTGTAATGAGATGCATGATTTGATGTGTAGATTTCAATTTACAAATGGGGAAAAGAAAGTCAAGAGCAAAGCCACCACCCAAGAAGCGGATGGACAAGCTTGATACTGTTTTTAGTTGCCCTTTCTGCAACCATGGTACAAGTGTCGAATGTCGCATGTAAGTTCTCATTCACTTTCTTTTCCATCTGGATTTTATTCTTCTTCTCTTACTGGAAAATCTTTTTTAAGAATTTGTGTGATGTTGCGCTCCCACTTTTGAGAAACATTTGCTATCATTAATTGAATAGGTTTGATGCCACTCTTGTTATTATGCATTGAAACTAATCCTTTTTCCTTTTCTTACTTTCTTTCTCAGTGATATGAAGAACTTGATTGGTGAGGCTGTATGTGGGATTTGCCAGGAGAGCTTCAGCATGACCATCACAGGTATTTTGCACTGTAAATGAATGCCAAAAGTAGAAGAAATCAATACTCTTTAACTAGAAGTAGGGGCTTTCCAAACTTAAATGTGAGGGTAGATTTTAAATGTGAAAAGAAGTTGATGGGAATCAGAAACGCTTGCATCAAAGTTCTTTAATTAAATAGATGTATGCTTATATGCCTATAGTTCAGGGGATGATAATGCAAATTTTCCTGTCACTTAATTGTTTTTAT